ATCACAGAAGGGGACACGGGATTGACAATAGCACAGAGGGTGACACGGGATTGAGAGTATCACAAAGGGGGACACGGGATTGAGAGTATCACAGAGGGGGACACGGGATTGAGAGTATCACAAAGGGGGACACGGGATTGAGAATATCACAGAGGGGGACACGAGATTGAGAGTATCACAGAGGGGGACACGGGATTGAGAGTATCACAGAGGGTGACACGGGATTGAGAGTATCACAGAGGGTGACACGGGATTGACAATAGCACAGAGGGTGACACGGGATTGAGAGTATCACAAAGGGGGACACGGGATTGAGAGTATCACAGAGGGGGACACGGGATTGAGAGTATCACAGAGGGGGACACGGGATTGAGAATATCACAGAGGGGGACACGGGATTGAGAGTATCACAGAGGGTGACACGGGATTGAGAGTATCACAGAGGGTGACACGGGATTGACAATAGCACAGAGGGTGACACGGGATTGAGAGTATCACAGAGGGTGACACGGGATTGACAATAGCACAGAGGGTGACACGGGATTGAGAGTATCACAAAGGGGGACACGGGATTGAGAGTATCACAGAGGGGGACACGGGATTGAGAGTATCACAGAGGGTGACACGGGATTGAGAGTATCACAGAGGGGGACACGGGATTGAGAATATCACAGAGGGGATACGGGATTGAGAGTATCACAAAGGGGGACACGGGATTGAGAATATCACAGAGGCTGACACGGGATTGAGAGTATCACAGAGGGTGACACGGGATTGAGAATAGCACAGAGGGGGACACGGGATTGAGAATATCACAGAGGGTGACACGGGATTGAGAATAGCACAGAGGGTGACACGGGATTGAGAATATCACAGAGGGTGACACGGGATTGAGAATATCACAGAGGGTGACACGGGATTGAGAATAGCACAGAGGGTGACACGGGATTGAGAATATCACAGAGGGTGACACGGGATTGAGAATAGCACAGAGGGTGACACGGGATTGAGAATATCACAGAGGGTGACACGGGATTGAGAATAGCACAGAGGGGGACACGGGATTGAGAATAGCACAGAGGGGGACACGGGATTGAGAGTATCACAGAGGGTGACACGGGATTGAGAGCATCACAGAGGGGACACGGGATTGAGAGTATCACAGAGGGTGACACGGGATTGAGAGTATCACAGAGGGGGACACGGGATTGAGAGTATCACAGAGGGTGACACGGGATTGAGAGTATCACAGAGGGGGACACGGGATTGAGAGTATCACAGAGGGTGACACGGGATTGAGAGTATCACAGAGGGTGACACGGGATTGAGAGCATCACAGAGGGTGACACGGGATATAGAGTATCACAGAGGGTGACACGGGATTGAGAGCATCACAGAGGGTGACACGGGATATAGAGTATCACAGAGGGTGACACGGGATATAGAGTATCACAGAGGTTGACACGGGATTGAGAGTATCACAGAGGGGGACACGGGATTGAGAGTATCACAGAGGGGGACACGAGATTGAGAATATCACAGAGGGGGACACGAGATTGAGAGTATCACAGAGGGGGACACGAGATTGAGAGTATCACAGAGGGGGACACGAGATTGAGAATATCACAGAGGGGGACACGAGATTGAGAGTATCACAGAGGGGGACACGGGATTGAGAATAGCACAGAGGGTGACACGGGATTGAGAGTATCACAGAGGGGGACACGGGATTGAGAGTATCATAGAGGGTGACACGGGATTGAGAGCATCACAGAGGGTGACACGGGATTGAGAGCATCACAGAAGGGGACACGGGATTGAGAGCATCACAGAGGGTGACACGGGATTGAGAATAGCACAGAGGGTGACACGGGATTGAGAATATCACAGAGGGTGACACGGGATTGAGAATAGCACAGAGGGGGACACGGGATTGAGAATAGCACAGAGGGGGACACGGGATTGAGAGTATCACAGAGGGTGACACGGGATTGAGAGCATCACAGAGGGGACACGGGATTGAGAGTATCACAGAGGGTGACACGGGATTGAGAGTATCACAGAGGGGGACACGGGATTGAGAGTATCACAGAGGGTGACACGGGATTGAGAGTATCACAGAGGGGGACACGGGATTGAGAGTATCACAGAGGGGGACACGGGATTGAGAGTATCACAGAGGGTGACACGGGATTGAGAGCATCACAGAGGGTGACACGGGATATAGAGTATCACAGAGGGTGACACGGGATTGAGAGCATCACAGAGGGTGACACGGGATATAGAGTATCACAGAGGGTGACACGGGATATAGAGTATCACAGAGGTTGACACGGGATTGAGAGTATCACAGAGGGGGACACGGGATTGAGAGTATCACAGAGGGGGACACGAGATTGAGAATATCACAGAGGGGGACACGAGATTGAGAGTATCACAGAGGGGGACACGAGATTGAGAGTATCACAGAGGGGGACACGAGATTGAGAATATCACAGAGGGGGACACGAGATTGAGAGTATCACAGAGGGGGACACGGGATTGAGAATAGCACAGAGGGTGACACGGGATTGAGAGTATCACAGAGGGGGACACGGGATTGAGAGTATCATAGAGGGTGACACGGGATTGAGAGCATCACAGAGGGTGACACGGGATTGAGAGCATCACAGAAGGGGACACGGGATTGAGAGCATCACAGAGGGTGACACGGGATTGAGAGTATCACAGAGGGGGACACGGGATTGAGAATAGCACAGAGGGGGACACGGGATTGAGAATATCACAGAGGGGGACACGGGATTGAGAGTATCCCAGAGGGGACACGGGATTGAGAATATCACAGAGGGGGACACGGGATTGAGTGCATCACAGAGGGGACACGGGATTGAGAATATCACAGAGGGGGACACGGGATTGAGAATATCACAGAGGGGGACACGGGATTGAGAGTATCACAGAGGGGGACACGGGATTGAGAGTATCACAGAGGGGGACACGGGATTGAGAGCACCACAGAGGGTGACACGGGATTGAGAGTATCACAGAGGGGGACACAGGATTGAGAATATCACAGAGGGGGACACGGGATTGAAAGTAGCACAGAGGGTGACACGGGATCCTGGGTGTGCATGTCGGTTTGGGATTGAGGATCCTGAAATATATACCCGTGGGATGCTAAAGAATAGGGAAGGAATGTCTGGCAGATAGATGGAAGATCGGTGATAGTAATGTATACACAACATGTAAGTCAACTGCAGTACATTTGTGTTAAAAAAGTGTTGATGTTAAGGGAAAATGATAGTTATCACTGTCAGGCTTGTATTATTAATGCGGATAACAAATCGGAGAAACTTGGCATCTTGATCCGATAAATATGCAAATTAGTTCGCCCAGCAGGAACTACTTTTGGACATAAGTTTATATAATCTGAATGAAGATTAGAAAAACAGCACATGCCATATGGTATATTTTTTGCAAATCTATTCTTCACATTTAACACTGTCACTATGTTCAGGAGCCATCTGTATCTAGTTTATGTTTATAACGCCACAGCCATCGTATATTGGTGTTTCCGGTGTGCGTGCCCTCGAACTGCGTTCCGCATAACCGGGATCATCATATATTTCAACATTCTGCACAGCCATACTCATATCACCTTGAACCGCCTCAGTGGTCTGGTGGTAGTGCGTCCGCCCGGAGAGCGGAAGGTCCGGGTTCGATCCCCGGCCGCGTCGTATAAAAAGACGTTAAAAGACACACACACACACACACACACACACACACACACACACACACACACACACACACACACACACACACACACACACACACACACACACACACACACACACACACACACACACACACACACACACACACACACACACCAGACAGACAGACAGACAGACAGACAGACACACATACACACACACAACAGTTACACCGCCCCCCCCCCCCCCCCCCCCCCCCCAACACACGCACGCACGCACGCTCGCACGCACGCTCGCACGCACGCACGCACGCACGCACGCACGTCGCTATATAAATGCAATTATCTCTAACGCGACGTTTAAACCCCATTTCACCTCACCTCATATCACCTTGATAAACAACTTCGAAGAATGTAACATAAAACACAATTATTGGTTGTATTGCAGAAATCAAAGAATCCATGGCACTGCTAGTTGTATATTAACTAACAAAAACTAAAACCAATGTAATCATGGCTTAAAAGCGGCATCTATATTTTAGTTGGGAGAGGATGGAGGATGTAAGTTGGGGAGGGTGCCATTTGGTGCAGGAGTCCGCTTGACCCCGATCCTTACACGCTATTAGGACAAGTACGTCCCAACCGGCGTGTTTCCAAGTAAATGCTGTTGACAGGAATTCGGCAATATCCTTCAATGACAGCATGAACATTCAACCAGGATTCTGTGCTGTCTGTACTTTTAATAAACTATGTCCAACATATGTAATGTATAGGAGTAGGGTAAAAACAGCGGAATTTACATATTTCAGAAACATATATATATAGAAGTATAAGAAGCTCAGTGATTAACATACGACTTTCCTTAAGTAATCATTGTGTCAGTCATTTGGGTTTAACGCTTCTAAATATGTCAGTTATACCGCGGCGTGTCATATTATTGTTAAAATCCGAAGTGATACCAAATGTATAAAACTTTGTATAGCTCTGACTTAAATATAGAAATTATTGTAATGCATAGCCATCTTTCGTCTATATAGCGACTGGTAATTCGCCCCTGACCACGTGACTGTATGCCGTCTGGCCGTAGGCCACGTGACTGCATGCACTGTGAAACCTGGCTGCATGCAGACCACGTGACTGCATGTACACTGAACTTGGCTGTGGGTCACAAGTCTTTATGCATTGTGAAATCTGGCCGTAGACCACGTCACTGTATGCACTGTGAAATCTGGCCGTAGACCACGTGACTGTATGCACTGTGAAACCTGGCTGCAGACGACGGGACTGCATGTACAGTGTAACCTGGCTGCAGACCAGCTCCCCCTCGCTTGATGAAGACACCTCTCTTCCTGCCCCCTCGCTTCATGAAGACACCTCTCACCCTGCCACTCGCTTAATGAAGACACCTGTCACCCTGCCCCCTCGCTTCATGAAGAAACCTGTCACCCTGCCCCCTCGCTTCATGAAGACACCTCTCACCCTGTCCCCTCGCCTAATGAAGACACCTCTCACCCTACCCCCTCGCCTAATGAAGACACCTGTCACCCTGCCCCCTCGCTTCATAAAGACACCTGTCACCCTGCCCCCTCGCTTCATGAAGATACCTATCACCCTGCCCGCACGCCTAATGAAGAAACCTGTCACCCTGCCCGCCCGCCTAATGAAGACACCTGTCACCCTGCCCGCCCGCCTAATGAAGACACCTGTCACCCTGCCCGCCCGCCTAATGAAGACACCTGTCACCCTGCCCGCCCGCCTATTGAAGACACCTGTCACCCTGACCCCTCGCTTCATGAAGACACCTGTCACCCTGCCCCCTCGCTTCATGAAGACACCTGTCACCCTGCCCCCTCGCTTCATGAAGATACCTATCACCCTGCCCGCCCGCCTAATGAAGACACCTGTCACCCTGCCCGCCCGCCTAATGAAGACACCTGTCACCCTCCCCGCCCGCCTAATGAAGACACCTGTCACCCTGCCCGCCCGCCTAATGAAGACACCCGTCACCCTGCCCGCCCGCCTAATGAAGACACCCGTCACCCTGCCCCCTTTCTTAATGAAGACACCTCTCACCCTGTCCCCTCGCTTAATGAAGATACCTCTCTTCCTGCCCCCTCGGTTCATGAAGACACCTGTCACCCTGCCACTCGCTTAATGAAGACACCTCTCACCTTGCCCCCTCGCTTCATGAAGACACCTGTCACCCTGCCCCCTCGCTTCATGAAGACACCTCTCACCCTGCCCCCTCGCTTCATGAAAACACCTCTCACCCTGCCCTCTCGATTCATGAAGACACCTCTCACCCTGCCCCCTCGCTTCATGAAAACACCTCTCACCCTGCCCGCCCGCCTAATGAAGACACCTGTCACCCTGCCCGCCCGCCTGATGAAGACACCTCTCACCCTGCCCCCTCGCTTCATGAAAACACCTCTCACCCTGCCCGCCCGCCTAATGAAGACACCTGTCACCCTCCCCGCCCGCATAATGAAGACACCTGTCACCCTCCCCGCCCGCCTAATGAAGACACCTGTCACCCTGCCCGCCCGCCTAATGAAGACACCTGTCACCCTGCCCACCCGCCTAATGAAGAAACCTGTCACCCTGTCCCCTCGCTTCATGAAGACACCTGTCACCCTGCCTCTCGCTTAATGAAGACACCTCTCACCTTGCCCCCTCGCTTCATGAAGACACCTCTCACCCTGCCCCCTCGCCAAATGAAGACACCTCTCACCCTGCCCCACGCTTCTTGAAGACACCTCTCACCATTCCCCCTCGCTTTTTGAAGACACCCGTCATCCTGCCCCTCGCTTCTTGAAGACACCTCTCACCCTGCCCCTCGCTTCTTGAAGACACCCGTCATCCTGCCCCTCGCTTCTTGAAGACACCTCTCACCCTGCCCCTCGCTTCTTGATGACACCCGTCATCCTCCCCCTCGCTTCTTGAAGACACCTCTCACCCTGCCCCTCGCTTCTTGAAGACACCTCTCACCCTGCCCCTCGCTTCTTGAAGACACCTCTCACCCTGCCCCTCGCTTCTTGAAGACCGTCTCTTATCCCGCCCCCCTCGCCACCCCTCATCAGGTTATCGCGTCTCACTGGCTGTAAATCGCCACACAGGTAGTTTATTGCGATTACTGTCGTGGGTCGATGAGGTACCTGACACCTAACGGGCAACCACTTACCTGTAGGAGGGGTGGGAGGGTAAGGTGGAGTGGAGTCGGTTGTGAGGGTAAGTGCTGGGGTTACCCGGGTGCTGTACAAGATGGCACCTGGGACTGACACAAACGTTTGATGGACACACGGGGTTTGTTTGTACGGGCTGCGATAAAGTCGATGAGAGACACGACAGCTCACTTAATTAACCCTACATTTCTACAGACCTCACAAGGTAACACATTCGTTGATGGAAGACACTGACGCCAAAAAAACACAAGTGCTGCCACTGATACCCCAACAAACAACTACAGATGCTGCATTCGTTGATGGAAGACACTGACGCCAATAAAACATGGGTGCTGCCATTGACAGCCCAGGAACAGCTCTAGATGCTGCACTCATTGATGGAAGACACTGACGCCAATAAAACACGGGTGCTGCCATTGACAGCCCAGGAAACAGCTCTAAATGCTGCATTTATTGATGGAAGACACTGACGCCAATAAAACATGGGTGCTGCCATTGACAGCCTATGATGCAATTCTAGATGCTGCATTCGTTGATGGAAGACACTGACGCCAATAGAACACGGGTGCTGCCATTGATAGCCTATGATGCAATTCTAGATGCTGCATTCATTGATGGAAGACACTGACGCCAATAAAACATGGGTGCTGCCATTGACAGCCCAGGAACAGCTCTAGATGCTGCACTCATTGATGGAAGACACTGACGCCAATAGAACACGGGTGCTGCCATTGACAGCCTATGATGCAATTCTAGATGCTGCATTCGTTGGTGGAAGACACTGACGCCAATAAAACATGGGTGCTGCCATTGACAGCCCAGGAACAGCTCTAGATGCTGCACTCATTGATGGAAGACACTGACGCCAATAAAACATGGGTGCTGCCATTGACAGCCTATGATGCAATTCTAGATGCTGCATTCGTTGGTGGAAGACACTGACGCCAATAAAACATGGGTGCTGCCATTGACAGCCTATGATGCAATTCTAGATGCTGCATTCGTTGGTGGAAGACACTGACGCCAATAAAACACGGGTGCTGCCATTGACAGCCTATGATGCAATTCTAGATGCTGCATTCGTTGATGGAAGACACTGACGCCAATAAAACACGGATGCTGCCATTGACAGCCTATGATGCAATTCTAGATGCTGCATTCGTTGGTGGGTGACACTGACGCCAATAAAACACAAGTGCTGCCATTGACAGCCCAGGAAACAGCTCTAGATGCTGCACTCATTGATGGAAGACACTGAGGCCAATAAAACACAAGTGCTGCCATTGACAGCCCAGGAAACAGCTCTAGATGCTGCACTCATTGATGGAAGACGCTGACGCCAATAAAACATTGGTGCTGCCATTGACGGCCCAACAAACAGCTCTAGATGCTGCATTCATTGATGGAAGACACTGACGACAATAAAACACAAGTGCTGCCATTGACACCCTAACAAACAGCTCTAGATGCTGCATTCATTGATGGAAGACACTGACGCCAATAAAACATGGGTGCTGCCATTGACAGCCTATGATGCAATTCTAGATGCTGCATTCGTTGGTGGAAGACACTGACGCCAATAAAACACGGGTGCTGCCATTGACAGCCTATGATGCAATTCTAGATGCTGCATTCATTGATGGAAGACACTGACGCCAATAAAACATGGGTGCTGCCATTGACAGCCTATGATGCAATTCTAGATGCTGCATTCTTTGGTGGAAGACACTGACGCCAATAAAACATGGGTGCTGCCATTGACAGCCCAGGAACAGCTCTAGATGCTGCACTCATTGATGGAAGACACTAACGCCAATAAAACACGGGTGCTGCCATTGACAGCCCAGGAAACAGCTCTAGATGCTGCATTCATTGATGGAAGACGCTGAGGCCAATAAAACACAAGTGCTGCCATTGACAGCCCAGGAAACAACTCTAGATGCTGCATTCATTGATGGAAGACACTGAGGCCAATAAAACACAAGTGCTGCCATTGACAGCCCAGGAAACAACTCTAGATGCTGCACTCATTGATGGAAGACACTGAGGCCAATAAAACACAAGTGCTGCCATTGACAGCCCAGGAAACAGCTCTAGATGCTGCATTCATTGATGGAAGACGCTGACGCCAATAAAACATGGGTGCTGCCATTGACAGCCCAACAAACAGCTCTAGATGCTGCATTCATTGATGGAAGACACTGACGCCAATAAAACATGGGTGCTGCCATTGACAGCCCAACAAACAGCTCTAGATGCTGCATTCATTGATGGAAGACACTGACGCCAATAGAACACGGGTGCTGCCATTGACAGCCCAGGAAACAGCTCTAGATGCTGCATTCATTGATGGAAGACGCTGACGCCAATAAAACATGGGTGCTGCCATTGACAGCCCAAGATACAGCTCTAGATGCTGCATTTATTGATGAAAGACACTGAGTGCTGGCCTTGGTCAGAGGACAACCCGCTATACCTTGAGCTCACGTGAACACTAGGTTCATATGACCTATAAATCCATAGTCTTCTGACTTAAATGGCACATGTGCCTCAATTTGCCATGGCTGGTAAGTGTTTAGTTGCATTTAAACCAGCCATGTCTGCACGTCAATTATAATTACAACTACCACATACCCGGCCCAAAAGACAAACTGATGCGTTCGTAAAATATCATTATTTTTGTGTCAAGTCAAGGGAAACGTCACTGCTCATTTCGACCTGTAGGAAGGGCTTCTCCACAGGGAAAGACTTGTAGGGCACACACGTCTTAATTAAACAAACCAGAATAAGAATCCAGCATACTGGTAATAAGGTTTTCATCTAAGACGCCAAGGTTGGGGAGAGGAAAATGTTTGCTTTGAAGCGGTGACTGCATGAAAAACTATTCCTTCAGACCATCAACTTATTACGGACTCTGGTTGTTGGGTGAACTGGTTTTAACACCGTTTTGAAACAATGCTACAATACAAATGTGTCGAATCGCATTTTCATTAATTTGGAATGTTTCGGGTGGATACCAGTTGAATAAAGATTAGAGAGACAATTTGTCGCATCAAGCTTCATTACTCCGGTTTCCAGAGGAAATCGAAACAAAGTACGCGCATTTTATGTTATAGTGTTTGTTTAACGCCGCACTGGGCAATATTCCTGCTATATGACAGCGGTCTGTAAATAATCGAGTCTAGACCCAGTGATTGACATCATGAACATCAATTTACACAGTTTGGGTACGATGACGTGCATCTACTAAGTCAGCGAGTCTGACCACTGGTTTGTCCCCTCTTACAAGCATGGATTGTATGATGTAAGACGTGGTATTGTGGACTCCAAAGGAGTGCAGTCATATTTGAACTTCCGAAAAGAATGGGAGTCCGTCATCACCTATTAACGCACTGAAGCCTATTCTCTGTAGTAGAGGGATGCTGTTCAGGCTCTGGGTTCATTGAGCTACAAATGGGATGTTAACAACCTATTCAGTCAAGACTCCAACACAGGGATCATTCTGTTGTTTATAAGGAAACAAGTGTTTATTCAGACAAAATGTACACACAATTCATTACATGGGGCCCACAAAATAACAAATGTATCCCCAAACTATTACACAAACTTTATTAAAATATTTTAATTTCTTCATAAAATAGTGAGATGCATTTTGTTCTGATCTCGGTAAAAAAATCTCTCAGATCAGTGATAAAAGAGTAGGACAGTTTTCCTCACAACATGCAGAACCATAGTCCAAGGGCCTATACCTGTAATTAAGGCTTTCTAAAAGATATTTGTTTCCCCAAAACCCACCAGACCCTAAAATTGTCACTCCCTCCTGTTTGCAATTTATTTTTTAAAATACTGCTTTCAACTCAACTTCAGAGTTCAGCTGTCACAGAAGAAGATTTTTTTAGTGATTTGTAGGCTTCTTAAAAAAAATAAAATCCTCCCTCCCCGGTCAGCTTAAAAAAAAGTGCTACACAAATTGTAGCTCACCTGGATATTTTGTCAACAGTTTAAAAAGTCAACAAAGAAATACACGTAACAAAAGTTGCTGTCATCATTGATAGCTATGTTTTCATATTTTACAATATGGATGTCGTTTCAAACATCTTGAAAGAATGAAGGTGTAATCAATGGTTGGAGCAAGCATGAGAAGTTCCAGCTGCCCTGGACCCCTGGTTTCCTGGGAGGTGATGTTTACAATGTGTGGAAATACAGTCTGAGAGAATTTAGGAACATGGTCTAAGTGAAATCAGAGTGAAAAAATAAATATCAAGAAAAACACATATATAAAAAACAATACTGGTACAGTAAACAATAATATAAACAGTGCATGTGCTTCCCTGCTGTTTCAATCTCATGGAATCAGATCTTTTACTACCATACAATATCTCACTGTGTGAACATTTGAGAATAGGATGTGGTGTGGGGTAAACGGTCGAATCTGCCAGTCTGTGTCAAGGTTTCTACAAGAAAAGTTCCTGGTAAGAGAAAGCAAAAAAAATAAAAAATCAGACTAGCATATCTGATATCTGTATCTCCACTGCCACAATGGCCTGTAACATGGGAAGAATGGGTCTTATGTATGGGGTATCTTTTGTTAAATTCAAAATCGCCTTAGAAAGCTGTCATCCGATTTGTTCAAAAACCCATGAATTCTTCAATCAAATTGGCATGTCTAAGTTTGCTGAGGGGTCACATGAATTGTTATAGGACAAAAAGATCTGATTTTGAGGATTTTGATTCTGTTGTTTAAACTTGTGACATGAAGACAATGAAGATTTCCCCTGACACTGATGTTTTGTGACCTCCAACATATGAGAGAGGTGGCAGAGGGAGTGTGTGGGGGGGGTGGGGAACCCACCAGCTGGTATGCTCACAAAGTAAGGATCTTTACTTGGAAGGACTTGCCTTTCAAATCCGCTTTCAGCAGATCCGGGAATAAATAAGGGATTTAACTCTGCACAGTGAATTTATCAGCCTGATAATGGGAAAGGTGGGTGAGGGCGAGGGGTTGCATTGAGATTGGTCTTAGGACTATCATATATTGCTGACCCCCAAAAGTTTATGTAACATGCCCCCCACCCCCCTCCAATATACATGTAACCATGACACCCCCATTCCAATAATAAATGACCAGTCCCTAACAGAAGTAACCATGTGTACATTTACTGCCAAAGAATAAACAATTACCTACTTTCAACTTTCAACAGACAAAGTGGGGGACACAAGGGGTGAGTGAGTGAGTGAGTGAGTGAGGTTTTCCGCCGCTTTTAGCAACAGACTGACCTTAGTGATATGCCTATCAGAGTACAAAATACAAAAAAAAACATATTTAGTTTCACAAATGTATTTATATTATATTTTTAGTCTAAAAATGTAAGCATAAAATTGGTAAAACCACATAACAAAAAAGTTGTTACAGGAGCTAAACATTAGAGTAAGCTGCATGTCCTGCTGACTGAAGTTGGGGCAGTTCACAGCAGGCCCTGCCTCCGACACATTTGCAAGAATCTTTTTCAAAAGCCACTCTTCATCACTATCAAGGAATACCTCAACATCTTTCTACACACAAAACAAATCAAATAAACAAAAAATCAACAGTGAAACTATGAAACATTCTCACCAGTGCATCATTCAACAAATAAATAAAAGTTGCGTGCTTTTATCGCTACGCGTGATCAATTACATAAACATCTTACATGAAACAGTGAACATAAAACATCAACACTATCATTAACATGATTCAGAGAAATATTCCAGCTATATGGCTGAGAAAATAGCATAAGGAGTATTCTTTATGAAAACCCTTTAAGCATGAGGATTCCTGCATCCTGTGAAATCCTGATACACTGCAGGTCACAACACCATGGAACACCATCGCGAACACGTCACCTGCTCACTAGGCAGTAGTGCAATACACTCCCTCAATACATGTCACAATATTAACCTACAAGACCAAACCATATACCCACATGATATTTTTAAACATGTTTACATGAATTTTGAGTAACCAGATTCAGGAAGTGCTTCATCTGTCATCTTCCTTCTACAGACGTATAGAGACTTTAGTGAACACCTGATACATCAGGGTCAGGCTTTACAAAGCCATCTTAGCACTAAGTCTGATACCAACAGGGAGTTGCAACTGTTAGGAGCCCTCAAGTAGCTTTGTGGGACAGGACCATGCTAGCTTATACTGTTTTGTATAGTTTTGGCAAGACGCTCTGGTACTATCTCCAACTCTCGCTATAATAACTCTGACTTATAATTCAAACATTCTTAATACATCTTTTATAGTGATAAAAGTATACCAATATCATTGGCCATGACACCAGTGTCCTCGTGTGACCCTGACTAGATATCCTTAGGTGATGTTTGTAGTGGTGTAACGATACAGCGATACGAGACCCATGATACAATACAGCGATTTACCACCCCTGTATTGCGATACATACGATACATTTTATTACAAATTATATTGGAATAAAAACATGTTAATAATAACAGAACCTGTTCAACCACCAGCTGTCGCAGTCTCTAGTATTTCATGGCTGGACATAAATAGCATAACATTCACAGTGCCCTCTACCAATAAGATTCTGCCCTACAATATCCATCTTTGATCTCTGAAGTTTAATAACAAATGATTAAGGGTTGTGATTCACCTGCAAAATGACAGAATATCAACTTATGAAACACAAGTACTGTATCGGGACATGAATCGTATTGCACCCATAGTATCGGGATACATATCGTATTGGGACCCCACCATATCGATACACCTCTAGATGTTTGTAACACATAGAAATAACATAACACTAACAATATAAACATGTATATCACTAACAATATAAACATGTTATATTGAAACAAAAACAGGACATACCATGGCACACAGGTATGAATGCCTCTATAACCTAACAAGCATTCCCAGTTGAACATATGCAAATATACTGCAAATGGGCTTCACACATTGTACCAATGTCGGGAATCGAACCCGGGTCTTCGGCATGACGAGCAAACGCTTTGACAACTAGGCTACCAGAATGCCCCTGAGAGCACAATTGTTGTTAAACATAAGTTTTATTCAGCTAGGCATGTTCTTATCTCAGGAAATCAAATATGGCTATATTGGCAGGCTAATGGGAGATGCCACTGGTCACCTCAGGGCAGACTAGTTTTTCTAAGTGATCACAACATTACAACTGTCATAACTATCTTCCTTTCATTTTCAGCCCTGCATATTAAGGCATGACTGATGATTGGTCACGGACTAAGTCGATAAACCAATTGGGATCACACTGTGAGTCAGCATTAAAACAAACACACACAAACTGTCTACATCTTCGGGGGTGCACACCATGAATTAACAACAAATATTGTACATTATTGTATGTAACATTTTGAAAACAAGGTGGACATAAAATGTTTGGACGTATGTCGACATTTTACAAATGTTTATACAATGTTATATGATGTCCAAGACATGTACAGATCAGAGAACATTACATCAATACTTCTACAATGTCGGATATATACCTCTTGGGGAGAAAATAGCATGAAGACTACTGGTATTTAAAGCTGTGTCTTCAGCTTGACAAGCGAACGTTTTAACCACTAGGCTACCCGACCACCCCTGAAGCAGAACAGAACATCCTTCATCTCAATGAATGTTTTGTCATCAACACAAAAATCTGACTTGAAATTTCACTTGTGAGTTTGACTGCCTGTGATTTCCTTGTTAGTAATATTGTCATAGACAACACAAATATTCCAGATAAAGTATACAGATCGCTGCCACTGACAATAAAGGGCAAGTACAATGTGCAGATGCAAACATTTGAAATACATATCTTGTGCAGAAAAACATGCACCCAAATGCTACTCCAGAGCTCCAGATAACTTTTTGAGCTATTGAGTTTTTACTCTAGGGTTTCTATTTTAATTGGGTTATTACCTTTTTCATTGGGTAAACAATATTTTTCACTCATCTATTCATAACTCTATTGGGATTTTCCCCCAAAGAGTGAACATTTTAAGATTAAAAAAAAATGAAATGTTTTAGATGTATATAACCATGATAACTGTTCTAAAGATAAAGGCTTGACTCGGAAAGTAAATTAGCTCGTAATTGTGTTTTGGAAATTAGCTCCTTTCTATGCATGCTGAAAAAGCTTCATTGGGAATTTGTCTTTATACATTTGAGTTTTTCATTTAATGCATTAGTTTCTGTACACAAGTTAATTGAAAGTAATTGGGATTTGAATATTTTGGGGGGGTATTTTACGCAAATATGCTGCTCATCTGAAGCTCTGTACTCATTAAAAAGGATACGCTTTTTGTATAATTGTAAACATAAATACTGCAATGATGGCATGGTTGAACACTGCTATCCTGCTCCTGGTTATGTACTTCATGAGATGTTGTGCATGCATACAGCATCTATTATCAACACGAAAAGTAAAGTGATACAAATGTTGGTTACAGTGTTCTAAAAAACATGGTGTTAACAATAGTTTTCTTTTGTAAAATGCTTATGATTATTTTTCTCCCTCGTCACTGCTAGCTTTCTCCCCGTTTGTAACAGTGGTATGTGAGAATCCGTTCAGTTGATCTCGAGCCTTCAGTTTCATGGACGCCAAGTTTGAATAAGGGGAGGCAACTATGGGTGGCGCAGGGATGTGTTCATGTTTGCATTCCAGCAACATGTTGTTGACTGGGGACAGTCCTATACAAGCTCGAAAGATGTTCTCAATACAAGCTCTCTGTCGGAACAATGCGTTCACCACGGGCGTTCCTCGAGGCACAAGCGGGGCCTTGCATAGAAAACTGAGGATGGAAAGAACTGCATTGAAGTTCTGGAATTCCATCTGTCCTTCTACTTTGAATTGGATACGTTCACATATTTCTGCCATAACAATGAGGTCAATGATGAGAGGCGAGGCAAGCAGCGAGTCTTCGCAGGTATTGTGGATGACAATGGTGTTGGTGCCGCCCATCATGATTTCGGAGGTGTATTCATCCATTGCCCGCTTGCTGTCTCCCACGTAGGGCACATACTTGATGACGACGGTGTGGTCCGGCTTCTCCTGTTCGTCATACAGAAGATGGTTGGACTGCACCATGTCGTCAACAACGTTGCTCTTGGAGATCTGGAACATATGGATAAAATGGGAGAGTGAGTGACCGAGGCAGAGCTGCCCAATTCTGTTTTTCTATCATACATCATAATGCGCTTCCTAACACTACTGCACCCTCCAGTCAGTCCCCTTCATCTCGGCACCTCCAGCATCCCCCATACATGCAGCCCATGCAAGAAGGAAGCTGTTATGTTGCATTATAGCCTAACTAAATAGAATTGACACTAAACCGCACACGTTATCAGAAATGAGCGGGCCACTGTAATAGGGCCATTATCCCGCCCTTGTTAGGTGACGTCACAGGATAGGGATAGGTGACGTCAAGTTCAATATTGACGTCATCTGGTTTGTTCTCTGACATTTCCATATTTGTAAAAGTGGGTCAGTGATATTCGTGTTGATTGCAGTAAATGTTTCCAAACCGATATTGTTGCTTCTTTTTATCTTATAACAAATTCCATCCATTTTAGCTATAATAAGGGTAACGCTATTTTTCAGGGCGTTATCATTTGCAGAAACCCTGGGTCTTTTCAACCGCCCTCCTTCGTCGGGCAGTTAATGAACACCTCAGGCTTCTGCAGATGATAATGCCCTGAAAAATAGCGTTATCCTTATATTAGGCTATGCCCAAATCTAATATGAGGGTTTATTATCCATAGAGGAACATCCCATGAGGAATATATTTGCCATGAAACTGAATGAGGTTTAGCAGGATTCAAGCTATATGGACGCAGGAGACACACACTATCCATGGTCCAGGTGCCAAACCAGGGTTTTCAGTGCGACGAGGCAATGCTTCAACCCTGGGGCTACCCCACCTGAATCAACACAAGCATCACATGTGTGGTCCAGAACAGCCATTCAACTCCCACGGATGTCCACCTAAACATGTCAGTTAAATAGAGTGTAACAAATTTTCGTGGCAGGATGCAAATATTGTGTCATGCATCGGTAGATATACAATATGGTAGGTTTTTCCTTCATGAATTTACTGTCAGAATGTAATCACATGGTCACAAGATGAATCATTACATCTCTGCCCTTACATGACCTCCTATTAAAATCAAGGCCATTCTGACCGGCATACAAAACTTTCTGGTCATAATATATATACAAGTCTGATACCCAAATCATTAAATCAATAAAGACATTTCCCAAGTCAATACAAAAACAGGAAATGTGATCTCGTGGTCTCCCAACATGACAATGTCTGTCAGTGTACATCATCTATGGGGTCGACCATTTGATATTCAGGGACTGGGGCTTATGTGAAAAACATTATTAATTCCAGAAAATGTTACAAACTAAATAATTTGGCCTCCAGTTTATCCAAAAAAATAATTGTTTGGGGTAAATAAATGTGACAATTTATTTCTTTTTCTATCAACAACCCCAGTTTCTTCCTTCCCACATTGTCAGTCCCTGAATGTCAGGGTAAGCATGAACTATTACCTCTTTAGACCCGAATATCAGGGTAAGCATGAACTATTACCTCTTTAGACCTGAATGTCAGGGTAAGCATGAACTATTACCTCTTGAGACCTGGATGTCAGGGTAAGCATGAACTATTACCTCTTGAGACCTGGATGTCAGGGTAAGCATGAACTATTACCTCTTGAGACCTGGATGTCAGGGTAAGCATGAACTATTACCTCTTTAGACCCGAATGTCAGGATAAGCATGAACTATTACCTCTTTAGACCTGAATGTCTCTGGAGCTGACAGGTTCTTGCCGTCGTTGTTTCCCAGATGGTTGTAGCTGACGATCGAGACAGGTTTAATCCCTGCACTCACCAAGAAGTCAACCAACACTGACTTGAGCTTTGTCTGACCAGACTTAAAGTCATCTCCTGCAATATAAACCCTCTTCTTCTCCGCCAGCTCTAGCACCCCCGGGACAAAAGTGTTCTGTGGGGAGCCATTGATGTAGGTCACACCTTCTAAGATGGATGCCACAGCAAAGAGAGTGGATGGGGAGATTTCACTGACGTCGTTCCTAATGCTGTTGAGGAGATTCTCTGTCGTGTCATTAAGACCTGGGCAGACGTCACAAAAACGCTCTGTGTTGGCTGTCCACAATATGATCACCTTATCAACTCCGCTACTGTCTTTGAAGCTTCGAATGTCCTGACGGATCTGGTCGACGAGTTCCTGTTTGGTACCTGAAAGGACATTGTCTGCACGGCCCTCCTGGTTGGCGGCAATGAAGTCTGGGATATAGATGGAGGGGCGGGGCTTGTACTTCTCCATATGTGGGCGAAGCTGTGTCTGAAGGTTGTAATCAAGGACCTTGGCTCGTGCCATGGCATCCCCTAAGTTCATAGAAGATATGTCCCAACCTGTATGACAAAAAGAAAACAAACACTTGCATTCACTCAAACATACGTGTCAACAGGAATTATTTTTCAAATTAAATTTATTTTTTATCTAAGAAAAGGCAAATTTTCAGCACTTTTCTTTATCAATAGAAGATATAGATTGTTTTCAAATAATTCCCATATTTCGCAGTGATTGTGCTAGAGACAAATGACATTAGGCCATTTCCGTGAATTTGCTAACTTTTGACAGGACTTTCCTCAATATCATTACCAAGTTAGAAAGAAATATTTAGGACAATTTGGTGACACTGACAATCAGTCAATGTACTAGAAACAAACCAATCAGAAAGCCGGGTTTTGAATTATGCACAGACCAGAAGGTACATTACTAAAATAGTACACCTACCATCGAATATAATGTCATTAGGATTTAGCATGGGCATGAGCTGGTTGAGAGGCACATAGACTTCCTCCCCTTGTGATCCTGTACCAAGGCAGACTGTACTGGCCTGGGTGAGGGACCCAAAGTAGTTGGCCATTCTCAAGCCCTCCTTCGTGTGCCAGCTCAGCCCCAGCCTGTTGGCGATGGTAGCAGCAATCACGGTGCTGCCATTGTTCCCCCCTATCCCCACCAGCATGACCCCAACTTTGGGCACCTGTCTCTTGGTGCGGAAGGTGTACTGGGTGGAGACGGGTGTGGCCACATACTGGCCCCCCTTCAGCTCCACACTGGTTGTGGCGTAGCTGTACTGACTCTCGATGTACTTGTCCGAGTACGTCACGCGCGGGCTGTCAACCTGCACTGTTGTAGCAGCCATCTTGTAGAGTCAGACGTCCAGTGCCTGTGGTGAGAAAACAGAGTCATCATGTCACTGTTGGAGAAAGATGCTACTTTAGCTACTGCAGCAGTCCTGGTGGCTGCCTCACTTGTTGCCATGGTTTCTGTGCTATTGTCACCTCTTGTTTTGCAGTTGTAACTGGCACAATTTTGTTGTTATAAAACATTCAAGCTTGGTTTCAGATTTTCAGAAATTCTTTACATTTTTCACATTTTTGGGGGGTCATGATATCTGTAAACCAATCCAACCAATCCCTCCTATGACGGATGTGTTGACTAGAGTCCAACCAATCCCTCCTATGACTGATGTGTTGACTAGAGTCCAACCAATCCAACAAATCCCTCCTATGACGGATGTGTTAACTAGAGTCCAACCAATCCCTCCTATGACTGATGTGTTGACTAGAGTCCAACCAATCCAACAAATCCCTCCTATGACTGATGTGTTAACTAGAGTCCAACCAATCCAACAAATCCCTCCTATGACTGATGTGTTGACTAGAGTCCAACCAATCCAACAAATCCCTCCTATGACTGATGTGTTGACTAGAGTCCAACAAATCCAACAAATCCCTCCTATGACTGATGTGTTAACTAGAGTCCAACCAATCTAACAAATCCTGCCTTGTTTGATACGCTGGGGTACAGTGTGCAATCTGGTTTTATCTATTACAGACCTGGATATTGAAGTGAAATTGTAATAATATATTTATTATGGCCCATGGGTGTCTCAGGGCTCCAACACTACAGCAGCAGGTCACAATGACCTTCCATAACCTAAAACACTGAACAGTGACCCAAGACTTCCATAACCTAAAACACTGTACAGTGACCCAAGACTTCCATTCATAACCTAAAACACTGTACAGTGACCCAAGACTTCCATTCCATAACCTAAAACACTGTACAGTGACCCAAGACTTCCATAACCTAAAACACTGAACAGTGACCCAAGACTTCCATTCCATAACCTAAAACACTGAACAGTGACCCAAGACTTCCATAACCTAAAACACTATACAGTGACCCAAGACTTCCATTCCATAACCTAAAACACTGAACAGTGACCCAAGACTTCCATTCATAACCTAAAACACTGAACAGTGACCCAAGACTTCCATTCCATAACCTAAAACACTGAACAGTGACCCAAGACTTCCATTCATAACCTAAAACACTGTACAGTGACCCAAGACTTCCATTCCATAACCTAAAACACTGTACAGTGACCCAAGACTTCCATTCCATAACCTAAAACACTGAACAGTGACCCAAGACTTCCATTCCATAACCTAAAACACTGAACAGTGACCCAAGACTTCCATTCATAACCTAAAACACTGTACAGTGACCCAAGAATTCCATTCATAACCTAAAACACTGAACAGTGACCCAAGACTTGCATAACCTAAAACACTGAATAGTGACCCAAGACTTCCATTCCATAACCTAAAACACTGTACAGTGACCCAAGACTTCCATAACCTAAAACACTGAACAGTGACCCAAGACTTCCATTCCATAACCTAAAACACTGTACAGTGACCCAAGACTTCCATCCATAACCTAAAACACTGTACAGTGACCCAAGACTTCCATAACCTAAAACACTGAACAGTGACCCAAGACTTCCATTCCATAACCTAAAACACTGTACAGTGACCCAAGACTTCCATTCATAACCTAAAACACTGAACAGTGACCCAAGACTTCCATTCATAACCTAAAACACTGTACAGTGACCCAAGACTTCCATAACCTAAAACACTGTACAGTGACCCAAGACTTCCATTCATAACCTAAAACACTGAACAGTGACCCAAGACTTCCATTCCATAACCTAAAACACTGAACAGTGACCCAAGACTTCCATTCATAACCTAAAACACTGTACAGTGACCCAAGAATTCCATTCATAACCTAAAACACTGAACAGTGACCCAAGACTTCCATAACCTAAAACACTGAACAGTGACCCAAGACTTCCATTCCATAACCTAAAACACTGTACAGTGACCCAAGACTTCCATAACCTAAAACACTGAACAGTGACCCAAGACTTCCATTCCATAACCTAAAACACTGTACAGTGACCCAAGACTTCCATCCATAACCTAAAACACTGTACAGTGACCCAAGACTTCCATAACCTAAAACACTGAACAGTGACCCAAGACTTCCATTCCATAACCTAAAACACTGTACAGTGACCCAAGACTTCCATTCCATAACCTAAAACACTGAACAGTGACCCAAGACTTCCATTCATAACCTAAAACACTGAACAGTGACCCAAGACTTCCATTCATAACCTAAAACACTGTACAGTGACCCAAGACTTCCATTCCATAACCTAAAACACTGAACAGTGACCCAAGACTTCCATTCATAACCTAAAACACTGTACAGTGACCCAAGACTTCCATTCATAACCTAAAACACTGTACAGTGACCCAAGACTTCCATAACCTAAAACACTGTACAGTGACCCAAGACTTCCATTCATAACCTAAAACACTGAACAGTGACCCAAGAATTCCATTCATAACCTAAAACACTGTACAGTGACCCAAGACTTCCATTCCATAACCTAAAACACTGAACAGTGACCCAAGACTTCCATTCCATAACCTAAAACACTGAACAGTGACCCAAGACTTCCATTCATAACCTAAAACACTGAACAGTGACCCAAGACTTCCATTCCATAACCTAAAACACTGAACAGTGACCCAAGACTTCCATTCCATAACCTAAAACACTGAACAGTGACCCAAGACTTCCATAACCTAAAACACTGAACAGTGACCCAAGACTTCCATTCATAACTTAAAACACTGTACAGTGACCCAAGACTTCCATAACCTAAAACACTGTACAGTGACCCAAGACTTCCATTCATAACCTAAAACACTGAACAGTGACCCAAGAATTCCATTCATAACCTAAAACACTGTACAGTGACCCAAGACTTCCATTCCATAACCTAAAACACTGAACAGTGACCCAAGACTTCCATTCCATAACCTAAAACACTGAACAGTGACCCAAGACTTCCATTCATAACCTAAAACACTGAACAGTGACCCAAGACTTCCATTCCTTAACCTAAAACACTGAACAGTGACCCAAGACTTCCATTCCATAACCTAAAACACTGAACAGTGACCCAAGACTTCCATAACCTAAAACACTGAACAGTGACCCAAGACTTCCATTCATAACCTAAAACACTGTACAGTGACCCAAGACTTCCATAACCTAAAACACTGTACAGTGACCCAAGACTTCCATTCATAACCTAAAACACTGAACAGTGACCCAAGAATTCCATTCCATAACCTAAAACACTGTACAGTGACCCAAGACTTCCATTCCATAACCTAAAACACTGAACAGTGACCCAAGACTTCCATTCCATAACCTAAAACACTGAACAGTGACCCAAGACTTCCATTCATAACCTAAAACACTGAACAGTGACCCAAGACTTCCATTCCTTAACCTAAAACACTGAACAGTGACCCAAGACTTCCATGCCATAACCTAAAACACTGAACAGTGACCCAAGACTTCCATAACCTAAAACACTGAACAGTGACCCAAGACTTCCATTCATAACCTAAAACACTGTACAGTGACCCAAGACTTCCATAACCTAAAACACTGTACAGTGACCCAAGACTTCCATTCATAACAGACTTCGTAACATCAGGTAGCTTGGATATACTTTCCTGATTCAAGGACAAACCCCTCAGTGAACACATATCATTCATAAGAAATGGTAAACTTAGTCTTTAGGTGTTTTGATAATCAACCATTTAATATAACTAAACTCTTTTCAGTCATGAAGTATTTAAAGGTAAAGAACGTCATTCACTTTCAAAATGGCAAATTTTCAGTCTGACCAGAAGCTTCTCCCTTCATTTTGTAGTGGCAGGTACTTGTAGAGTTAATAGAGAAAGCAAGATCGGATATCGTGGAAATGCAGTTCTACTGCTTCTACTACAAGCGAAATGGTCACCATGGTGAAGAACATACACACCCATCCTCCTGTCCAAGTTGGCATTAAGGAAAAACATGAATGTAATATTCTTATTCTTATCTAAACAAAAACATACATTAATGCTTATGGAATTTAATGGTAACATTTAATTGAATTGGGACTGAAAACTGAATTTTAATTTGATTTGATTTGAAAAATTAAGTTACAGTCATATACTTTTTCGGTGAAAGACTCAATCACCACCGTTTTATAAAATTCCAGGTATTTACGAACTGCACTCCCTGTATCATAAGGATAAAGCATTACCATTGAGAACAATGCCAATATATCATGTATATAAGTTTGGAAATAATCAAATAGGGTGTGATGGGACAACGGAAAAACGAGTGAGTGAGTGAGTTGGGTTTAATGCTGCTTTTAACAGTATTCCAGTTATATCACGGCGTGTCAGCTTAATGTGGGAGGAAAACCCAATGTGATGCAGGTCTCATTTCAGACATTTACCACTTCAGTGAAACCCACGAGAACGGGTATGGTGCTGACAAACCAAGAAACATAATTGCGGCAAACCGGGATTCGAACCCACAATCATAGGTTTCTGGCTTGCCCAAGGGATGCAACTCTGCACAGCAAATCGCCACCCGCTCAACCACTTGTGTATGTATATATACATGTAAACTAAAGGATTGATCAAATGTATATGTAAAATATAGAACTGACCATATATACATGTAAAATATAGAACTGACCATATATACATGTGAAACAAAATATTGAATGTAGCCGATCTTATTTCCTGTCTATGCTTCCAACCGTTTAACCCAGATTAACATAGGAAACACATCGTAATCCTATTGTCTTTCCTAATCCCCAAATCGAGCCATGAACACGAAGTAAACCTTCTTTTTTTCTCGTTTAGTCGACCCTCGTTTTACCAAAAGGGGATGGTATGGGGTGAGAGGGGTGGTTTATAAACACTGGTTCCATTTATCTCGGGCAGTAACAATAACGTTTGTCCTTCTTATCACAAGTTCCAGATACTCCCCCATAAGTTATTGATAGATAAATATTTCTAAACTTATTGATAATTTGTTTTTATTAGATAACATAAATGTTTGAAAACCAGAAGGTGAAATCTGTTTTGACAACATGACAGCTTCTCACTCTCAAAAATGTTGTCTGCTTGGTGTATAAGCTTAAACTGTTTAAAGTTTTGCATTTAGGCTTGACCATGGCAAAATTCTTTACATCAGTGATTATCGGTTCTGTTTTCATATGGAGTACCCTATGCACAATTCAATGTGTTCATATTAGGAATTGACACCTCACCCCTCTCGAAAAATGTTAACACTGATTGGAGGACTTTGGACTTTATTTTGTTTTGTCATTGTATTCCGTTGCTTTCTTTTGGGAATTATTTTTCATCCTCTGCGTGTATTTGGATGTTTGCTGCTACTTTCGCTGAGATGCAGACCTGGGGGCCAGGTAATGGTAACACCAAGATGCAGACCTGGGGGCCCAGTAAAGGTAACACCGAGATGCAGACCTGGGGGCCAGGTAAAGGTAACACCGAGATGCAGACCTGGGGGTCCGATAAAGGTAACACCGAGATGCAGACCTGGGGGCCCGGTAAAGGTAACACCGAGATGCAGACCTGGGGGCCCAGTAAAGGTAACACCGAGATGCAGACCTAGGGGCCAGGTAAAGGTAACACCGAGATGCAGACCTGGGGGTCCGATAAAGGTAACACCAAGATGCAGACCTGGGGGCCCGGTAAAGGTAACACCGAGATGCAGACCTGGGGGCCCAGTAAAGGTAACACCGAGATGCAGACCTGGGGTCCGGTAAAGGTAACACTGAGATGCAGACCTGGGGCCCAGTAAAGGTAACACCGAGATGCAGACCTGGGGGCCCAGTAAAGGTAACACCGAGATGCAGACCTGGGGGTCCGGTAAAGGTAACACCGAGATGCAGACCTGGGGGTCCGGTAAAGGTAACACCGAGATGCAGACCTGGGGCCCAGTAAAGGTAACACCGAGATGCAGACCTGGGGCCCAGTAAAGGTAACACCGAGATGCAGACCTGGGGGCCAGGTAAAGGTAACACCGAGATGCAGACCTGGGGGCCAGGTAAAGGTAACACCGAGATGCAGACCTGGGGGTCCGGTAAAGGTAACACCGAGATGCAGACCTGGGGGCCAGTAAAGGTAACACCGAGATGCAGACCTGGGGCCCAGTAAAGGTAACACCGAGATGCAGACCTGGGGGTCCGGTAAAGGTAACACCGAGATGCAGACCTGGGGGCCAGGTAAAGGTTACACCGAGGTGCAGACCTGGGGCCCAGTAAAGGTAACACCGAGATGCAGACCTGGGGCCCAGTAAAGGTAACACCGAGATGCAGACCTGGGGGCCAGGTAAAGGTAACACTGAGATGCAGACCTGGGGCCTAGTAAAGGTAACACCGAGAGGCAGACCTGGGGCCCAGTAAAGGTAACACCGAGATGCAGACCTGGGGCCCAGTAAAGGTAACACCGAGATGCAGACCTGGGGCCCAGTAAAGGTAACACCGAGATGCAGACCTGGGGGTCCGGTAAAGGTAACACCGAGATGCAGACCTGGGGGCCAGGTAAAGGTTACACCGAGGTGCAGACCTGGGGCCCAGTAAAGGTAACACCGAGATGCAGACCTGGGGCCCAGTAAAGGTAACACCGAGATGCAGACCTGGGGGCCAGGTAAAGGTAACACTGAGATGCAGACCTGGGGCCTAGTAAAGGTAACACCGAGAGGCAGACCTGGGGCCCAGTAAAGGTAACACCGAGATGCAGACCTGGGGCCCAGTAAAGGTAACACCGAGATGCAGACCTGGGGCCCAGTAAAGGTAACACCGAGATGCAGACCTGGGGGTCCGGTAAAGGTAACACCGAGATACAGACCTGGGGGTCCGGTAAAGGTAACACCGATATGCAGACCTGGGGGTCCGGTAAAGGTAACACCGAGATGCAGACCTGGGGGCCAGGTAAAGGTAACACCGAGATGCAGACCTGGGGGTCCGATAAAGGTAACACCGAGATGCAGACCCGGGGCCCGTAAAGGTAACACCGAGATGCAGACCTGGGGGCCCGGTAAAGGTAACACCGAGATGCAGACCTGGGGCCCAGTAAAGGTAACACCGAGATGCAGACCTGGGGCCCAGTAAAGGTAAAACCGAGATGCAGACCCGGGGGCCAGGTAAAGGTAACACCGAGATGCAGACCTGGAGGAATGACTGGCTCAATCACGTCCACGGAAAGAAAATGAGTAAAGGAAAATGCCAGGTAAAAAACAGTAAGAAGAAATTAGCGTGTGCTTAATTCTAAAACTTTAATTGCCAAGTCAAGGCTTTGATCCAGATTATTATCTCAGATAATGTCTAGCGAAGACAGTGTCGGACCTCCAAAAACATCCTGGGAGCTGGGGATAAAAAACCCTTTTCTGGGTTCCCACTGAACTTGTAGTGCACGAACGGGGCACAATAAGAGTTCATCCTGCCTGGAGATTGGAATGGTGCTGGACCGGGTTGCCTTTTCTGGTAGCTGATTCTTAGCTATAACATCGGAACACAGCTCGAGATCAACCGCTCCCTGCATGTAATTCGATAACCCTTGCCCCAGTGGCTAGTGCCAAGACAAAAATTGTCTTCTTGGTGAGGTTAAACAGGATTGCGTGTAGAGGCTCGAACGAAGGCCCACACAAACCCTGAGGTGCTACATTCAAATCCCTAGTAGAGGGGGAAATTTGGCCTTTTGACCCTCAAGCATGAATGAGCGTAGGAGGGCCTGTACTTCCGGGACTTTGGTCATCTCACAATCTTTCCGAATGACAAACACTGAATGAAGAGCCACCAAGTATGTTGTAATGGTGCTGCCCTTCAAGCGTTGGTTTATACGCGAATATGATAATATGTGGCAGTCATTTGAAACCTTTTGTAAGGAGAAATACCTCCGACGTATTTCTCCTTACGAAAGGTTTCAAATGACTGCCACTTATCATCATATAAGTCACAATTTTCTCTTTTTCTTTAAAGGGGCACTGATCTAACGGAATTCCCTGGACTGGTTGTTGCCTTTGTTATTGTTTTTTTCCCCGTGAGTACCCGGATGATACGCAACGCAACTGAGCGTGACCAGAGACTGGGCTACCGTCTGCAAGGACAGCTAAATAAACTTGGAGGCTGAAGGCAATATTTGTTTTACGCATTTTTGCATAAACACTGATTGGTTAACCGTGATCTATAAAGATTTCGACAAAGGGCGCATGTTAATTAATTTATTCAACCTAAACAAACAGACAAAAAGAACGGCGGAGCTCATCGGATGTCGTCATTTGGAAATACCCCAGATGGTCATAGTTTAATACTAAAAAAAGTATCCATGCAGTGAAAGCATTTTCGGATTTCGGATTGCGTCGATAATACGATATCTACTCCCTTGTTGTCATCCACGTTTTCTCGTATAACCCTACACTTGTGTATTTGTCGTCATTCACTTGATGCTCAGTTAATGAATTTATTACAGGTACAATTAGTGGTAGAACCACTTAGATTACCTGACAAAGGTTCCCATTCGGCATTTATTGTGTCTGGGGTAATTATTCAATCTAAATCCAGGTTTGAAGTGAGTTGAAATGTGTGTTATGTAATATGCACGTGGCAGACCAGCAAGAGGTGAATGATCAGTTGATTTACTTTTTTTGTGTAAATCAACGGATCGTTCCTAGTCATCAAAGGATTAACAGAAAATACGTTGATTGTTTAATCACTGTTATCTTGCACAGTGGATATGTCAAAAGTGAGTGTTTACATGTCTAGGTTTACTAAAACAAAGGGAATACACTCATATCATGGCGTGAAGTGCCGATGTAAAAACAACATACTTTGTTCAAAGGGTTAACTGATTATACGTTGATTGATTGATCATTGTTATCTATCACTCAATGGATTTTTTAGGAACTGTGGACGTTATGAAAATAGTTGTCACTTGGGCTTTCTCAGCTGACCCTTGAGACTTGACACCTATGTGAAACACCTGAAACAATCCAAGTGATCAGTTGAGAAACGAACACAGGTTAAAATATCCCAAAACGATATATAGCTTTTAAAATATGTGATTGTTACAGAGACACGTGACATCGAATAAGTTTCTTTGTATAGTTGCAGATGTGTGGGATATTGTTCCTTTGTGTGGATATTCATGGATATATTCCTCGAACAAGGAAGCTGCCTAAAATTTATACACATAAATTTGGTAGGTTGTAATTATGGTATTTGCATTTTGTTTTCCTTCATTTGCTGTAGCATTGAACCGATTCGTCCTTGTTCCTCTACGTCTTGGTTGGGAAATTCTTCAATGCGCGATAGACGTTGTTTTCACAGGCCTTTTCCTTTGTAAGCATGTATATATTACCTTCAATTTGTAAAATGTAATTCTCTCAGGCAATTTATAAAATGTGTAAATATTTCAGTCATTTTGACTAAAAAATCTCTCCAGATTGATTAAGACGATCAAAAGGGCCTACAAACATCACAACTGATTATTATGTAGGATTAGAAGCCAAACAACATAGAAATGTACTTTTCAACGTAACATTTTCAGTCTCTTGGTGATGACATTAAACATCAAAAGGTTTGGAATTTGTTAGCATAATAATACAGATGGAAATGTTTTTCAGTCACTTTGTAAAATAACTGAATATTTAGGCGTTTAATAAATTTGAAAATGTTACACATTTTGACAGTAAAAAAATATACACACTATATAAAAGCAATGCTCACTTGAAACATTTACTTTGTATTGCAAGTCAAAATAGTGTAAACGAAAATCGCAAAATTACCAAGCAAGTGTTTTATCAAAACTTCGTCACCATTACCGATGCTACCCACAAAGATACCTACATTTCCTTATTATCTCGAAAACTGTATATCATTTTGTTGATCAATGTGACCATACGCCCTTATTACTACCCATACAAGTGACTAATGCGCTTACGAATGGCGCAGCAGAGGTCGCGAACTAGTCTAGATTTCTGCTATACATCCGGGTACTCACTGGGAAAAAACAATAACAAAGGCAACAACCAGTCCCGGGAATTGCGTTAGATCAGTGCCCCTTTAAATATGGATATTTAACCTCAAAGAAAAGCGAAATGTTAATTCCCTGCACTAAAAATAGACAATGTAGATGTGCACGCCACCCATGTAGGGAGGAGTCTACAAACACATGTAGTGTTGGAGTTGGCCTGCTTAAAAGATATATTTGTAGAAGGGAGTAGCAATATATCTTATGTCACTCCAAGCTTATCAGGGGTGGCAAAAACGTACTATTGAAGTATGACATCTACAAGGAACATATAAGAAATGGATACAAGACCATAGCATGTGTACTATCTTCAGGAGCTGGTACAGATGGTGCTGTTGATATCAGTTAACATGTTATAATCTGGCATGTGTGGTCATCATTACTAGTTTGTCCTGATTCATGTTTTTATCCTTATTGCCTCAGATGAGGCTTCATCTGCTGCTCTCGTCTGACAGCTGAGAGAATTGTCTGTGCCAGCAGGTTCTAGGCGAGGCACACTTTTGATTGGCGGGTAGGGGGGAGAGATAATAATTACATTATCTAGCTTCTTCATGTAGGCTACAATGTATTTTTATGAAATATTGCTATATATTTGGGTGAAATTCACCTGTGCCTGTGTTATTATCTATCACAAGCACTTGCCTTCGCACATTTTATAAGTTACCCATCGAGGAGAACTTGGCAAGTCAGGTAACACAAGCCATGAATACCCGGTATATAGACATCTGTAACATACATTTATTTATTGAGAAGGGAAGTAACTCTTATGACCTTCATAGCATACACGTGCGGGGAATTGACACGTTACCGGTGTGTAAGAGAAATACAGACCTTAGTCTGTGATGCGCATCATATGTGATAAACTATACCACGGATCGAAAAACAGCCAAGCAATATACATATCTGCCTACGATACCCAAGCCTAATCTGTCGAAAATACACTGACGGCGATATAAGCTTATCTGTAATAGATCTATTTTTTCGAGAGGCATTACCAGTACCAATCGCCAGCAACTATAAGCTTTCTCTTCGATGACATGTCAGTTTGCAATCGATCACTCAATACTTACCTAAGAATTACTTCTCGTGTTTGTTTCCGCTTTAACACAAGTTATTAAACGAACAGACGCCACAGACTCAATGAACTCAATGAATTTTCTTCTTCCAGCTTGCAAGGCTTTTATATATAGCGTGACCCGAAATGGTGGAATTTGATTGGTCGGCAGCTGGTATCAACATTGCCTCTGGTGAACACGTCAGTGTCAGTGACAAGCCTGATCGAGAAAATTCGAAATCATGCGATTGTCAATAATTGAAGTGAGGTCACGGTCGGTTGTATCGTGACATCGAAAGCTACAATTACAATTAATAATAATACTTGATCGCTTGCACTCCTAAAGTGGGAGTAAAATTTAATATTTGTTGAGAACAGTTAAAAATTTGATTTATTTTTCCAGGGCAGTTGTGTTTTAACATTTATTACTATACTTCGCACAATTGGACTAGACCAGAAAATCCAGTGAATCTCGCCTTGCGTTTTAAGTACTCATTTAACTACAAAATGTAATTAATTTAAAATATTTTAACTTGTTGAGACATACTTTTTCCGTTATCATATATTGTATTTAATCGGTTCTTTTCAGAAGTAAGCATTGTCATAAGACATATTCATTTTTGGGGCATGGTTGATCATGCGGTCTAAGGTGACACAATTTGCTGCACACGTTTGGTTCGAATGCCATAATTAACCCCGACTGTGACTCTTGGTTTGCCAGTACCATACGCGCGCAGGTTTTATTAATTAAAGTTTCCCCTTTAATGAATACTTTTAGAAATAGGGTGAACGTCAGTGTTAAAGACTATCACTTACATACCCATGTTATTCATGTATTTAAAGACCTCCGAAGATCCGAGGAGAGAATTGGTCTTCAGCAACCCATGCTTGCCGTAAGAAGCGACTATGCTTGCTGTAAGAAGCGACTAATTGGATCGGGTGGTCAGGCTCGTTGACTTGGTTAATGCATGTCACCGTATCCCAATTGCGTGGATCAATGCTCATAATGTCAATTACTGGATTGTCAGGTCAAGACTCGATTATTTACAAACCGCCGTCATATAGCTGGAATATTGCTGAGTGCGGCGTTAAACAACAAACAAATATGCATTCAAAAGATTGCCTGCGGTGTTTAGAGGATAGACCGTCTTCCCGAAGAGCGGAAAGTTCATGGTTCGATCCTCGACCGCGTCAAAGATCGTACTTGATGTTACCATGCCTGGCGATCAGCACTAAAGACCGCACTAGGGGCGTAATGCAAGGACTGCATGGTAGGCTCGGAGTACGTATACTGTGTCTGAAAGGGGTGTTCATGTTCACTGCGGCATGGTATCTCAGTGTGCTATCGCTATAAAACCGACATTAGTCCGGACTGGTACAAACAGCCACACACGTGCATGCACGCACACTATGTAAGTGCAATGATCTTGAACGCTTCCTAAAAACCCATTTCACGTCACCGATATATTTATAAAGACGTATACTGTAAGCCACATGCAGTTACAGTAAACTACGGTTATAACGAACACGCTTATAACGAACTGACGGATATAACGAACTTACTTTTTGGTCCCGACTATTTGCTGTAGTTATACTGTGTATATGCTTATAACGAACTACGGTTATAACGAACTAAAATAAATAGTCCCTTTGAGTTCGTTATAACCGTACTTTACTGTATATAACCGAGAAATATAATTGGCTATTTAGACTTGCTATTAAATCAAACTTGTCGTGAGAGAGTCTGGTTTTTACGCCGCTTTTAGCAATATTCCAGCAATATCAGGACGGGGAACACCAGAAATGGGCTCCACACATTGTACCCATGTCGGGAACCGAACCCGGGTCTTCGGCGTGACGCGCGAACGCTGTAACCACTAGGCTACCCGACCGCCCCACTCTAACTTGTAACTTAGTATAGTATAGTGTTCGTCGACGAAGAGGAAATAAAAGGAGAGTTCTGCATCGAACAGACGACATTCTAATTGATCGACGATAATGGACGATTATGTGATTAGTTAAGGAAAGACCCCCTCGGATGACTTCACGCTAAAAATGCAGGTCACCAGTCTATCGACTTTCTGTTTTTGATTCTCTGCTGTTTCCAAATGAAATCATACGTTGTTGAATGTATATTTTTAAGAAGACTTCATGAAAATATGTTGTATCTGTGAAAACATGGATGTTTAATTAATCATACATCCACGATAAAACTAACTACAAGAATTGTCTAAAATTCAATATCAATATCTTATGTGACTATGTTTAGTTTAAAAATATAAGATTTTCCAAGGGAGAAAAACAACAAAAATAATGAAATCAATTTTTTCCATCGCACTAGTTTTGTCTTTCATGTAGGAAGTAAGTAGTACGTCATACAAATATTACTACAACATTGTCTGTCGTAATCACATCTTCAGGATGGATAAGCGACATGAATCTCTAAACATGTTGAGGTCAGTTCAAGAACTTGATGCATGGGTTGCAGTTAACAGTTGTACAGATGACCCCGAAGTTAACATGAAGCGAATAGAACTGCTCGTTTCAGGTTTAATTCCGCATCCAAACAGCTTCATGGAGTACCCATGAACATGACACAAGATCAGGAAAGGACGTTTCAAGCGCGTACTACTTGTCACATGTGTCCTAAAACCTTCGACTCTTAGATTCTATCAAAACAAGAGATCACAGCCATGTTCCCAGTCGCTTTAGTGTGCCCCCATCAAAACTGTAAACTCAATTTCAAGTTTAAAAAATGTCAGTAAAAACAAAAGGGACAAAACGAATATTTTCTGTTGATCATTTTTCACAATCTTCGGGGATGTGACAACCATCTCATCATGAAACATTCAGACAAAAAAGTAAAACGAAATTTACAATGTTTGGCCAACACTATGGGAAAGTATATGTCCTCTGTTGGTGGCTTGAGGTTCATTGACTCACTCCAGTTTCTGAATGCATCTTTAGAGACGCTGGTAGACAATTTAAATGCTGGGGGTACCTTAAAATTCATTAATCTGAAGCATGTGTTTTCAGATGAGCATAATGTTTTGTTGTTCTTACGAAAGGGGATTTACCCTTATGATTTCATGGACGATGAGTTGAACGTTGATTTAAGTGATCTTCCAGAAGGGCAGGAATTTTATAATATATTGACAGAGTCATATTTTGGACAGTGAATATTCACATGCACAAGAGGCCTGGTCCACATTTGGTGTCCAAACAATCGGAGACTATCATGACGTTTGTATGAAGACAGACGTTCTTCTTTTAGGCACACATAATTGTCCTGTAAAGTCTCTAAAATTGCTCATTGAGAATCCCACCCTGATGCAGTCAGTCTGTTCTGTATTCCAAAATCAAATGCAGTTATTGGTGATAATAACTGCTCTCCCAACGCCAATACGGGAACATAATCCGTACAATTTCCAAAGAAGCTGGGTTGAGCCGCATCTATACACCCCACAGTGCCAGGGCTACTGCTATTCAAGCGTTGAGTGACGCCTCCGTTGAATTACGCCACATCATGTTTATGTCAGGGCACAGAAACGACTTATGCCTGTAAGTATTAGTGCACATGAACTCCCACATCTATAGACGCCACAAGTACTAACTATAAACCCCAAATACCGGTTTGTCATGCAGTTGTTACGTGTCGATTCCCAAATTGAAACAAACTGTTAACCCAGAAATCTGTAAGTAAAAGAAACCAACAAATAGCCAACAAATAGTATACAATTAACAAATGTATTACAAAAGTAACTAACTTTACAAATTAATACAAATTACTGCACAGCAATTACTATGGCAGTACACAATGGAGTGGACTCAGACTAGAAGTGGTGAACTCAGGCTTAGATCATAGTCAAAAATCGTTGCACGAGACTTTATGGATCAGCTTCAATCAGGGGCAGATTATCACGAGACATATTGTCTCACTTTAGAGAGAGAGCGGGGAGAGAGAGAGAGAAAGAGAGAGAGAGAGAGAGAGAGAGAGAGAGACTATCTTAAATCAATTTGATTTTAAAGATTTAAAGAGAGAACCAAGAATGATAACCAGGGTGAATCTGTCATGTGAACTAACAACCATCGGATTGTGGAGGATCTTTAGGGACATAACCCGTCTTATAGTCGAGTTGGACATGCACATCATGTGTAAATAGGTAACGTTTCTTTAGAAACGAATATATACTCTGCAAAAAAGGAAATGCACAAATTAGTTAAATCGTGAATACCGACATCCATGCAAAATTAATACCAAAAATGAATTGGTCATTTCAGCATGGACTGGTATTGACTTGTGTGGAAAGGATAAGGTACTTCAGAAATTTTGTGAAAGGATGGAACAGTCACATTCACACAACCACGTGAGAGCCTGGCGCCGAAACACACCAACGTGACATGCATGTGCAACATCACTTGTTTGGCTACAAAGGCTCTGGGTTTTCATTTGCATGCCATCACCATCTTGCAGCAAGTGAACAGCGAAAACATGCCACGGCTGACTGCAAACAGTAAAATCATCGTCAGCTGTAGCCAGGTTTTTCCACGTAGCACCAAGCACCATTACAAGACTGTGAAACCGTTATCGGACACATTGGTAAACACGGGACCTTCCTAGATCCGGTCTACCTAGTATCAGCGCTAGAGCACAGGACAGATCCACCTATGGCAATATCAGGATTGCGTAGGATCAGTCCAGAGAGTGAGGAACCGTTTACGCGCTGAAGGTATTCGCGCTACACGACAAGGTCGAGGTGTCAGTTTGACTGACCTGCACTGTCGGCAGCGACGTAAATGATGTCAAGGTTACAGGGTATGGCCACAAGTGCGATGTAGACAAGTTTGGTTTAGTGACGAGTCACGTTTTATGCTTCTCCGTGCGGATGGTAGATGTCGTGTTTACAGGCGTCTCAGGAAGGTTATGCACGAAACTGCATCTAGGAAGTGGACAGATTTGGTGGTGGTGGTAGTGTGATGATGTGGGCTGAAATCTCCTACTCAGGTAGAATTGACTTGGTGCAAGTTCTGGGGGAATTAACGGCACTACGTTACACGGATGAGATGCTTCGGCCACACGTCCTTCCCATTATGCAACAAGCGAACGTCATTTTCCAACAAGACAACGCCCCACCTC